ACCGTTTGTTCAATTCATGGAATCTTCCGAACTCCCTTTTATTGTAAGAGGCCGTGTTCATACTTTGCGACTTTAGCGATTCATGCGCGCGATTGCCTTCATCTGCGCCTCATCGATAACCTTTGGACCGCTGCAGCAAATAGAAGAGGTACGCCCCGAACATAATCGAATTTGCAGGTGCAACGTTCAGCAATTAGCAGTGGAGAGCTGACTGTCATAGCCTTGCGCAACTTCAAATCGTGCGACTGAAGCGCTCAAGCCACGAAGCATAAACGCAGCCTAAAAGGGTAGTATTGGAGCAATTCACGAGAAATTGTGCGAAAATGGTGTCAACCTTTTGGGCATACTCCGCCTTTTCTTCTTCACTGTTTAACGATCGGATATAGAGAACTGTTAGAAACGACTATTATTACTAGCGGGTACCCGAATACACCAACATACATAATAAATCCTGCAGCTTGAGAAAATTCGATGTTTTAATGTTCACGTTAGGGATTTGGCATGTACCTTTATCAGACCGGTTCATTGAAGAATTTATCGAATACAGTCTGAAAGCAAAACCGCTGTGGATGCTCCATATCAGGAACGCCAGCGAAAGAAGGAGCATTATCTGAACAGAGAGAATCTTTAACCAAGGAGTGCCGGAGTGCTGGGTTCCGTGGATCCAATGTTTAGTTCCACTTAGTACTCTGTTAAGGTATGTACCGCAGAACGGGTATAGTTGAGCACCTCAGAGGGGTGGGAAAAGTGGCCAAGGTTGATTCAGGTCAAGGCAGTGCCAAGAAGTGCTCTTCAATTCTGTTTTCTATGCCGTACCTTGAATGTGCTGAACTACCCCGCTACCTTCATGTACGCCAGGAGATGAAAAGCATGTACTCAGTTGTAAGCGCATCTTACAGACAGTTGTCGGTTTTGGCAAAAAGGGCTATGTGGTGTACCACCTGCTTTTGTGCCTCCGTAGTGCTCAAAAGCGTAGGGCACGATAAATTGTATAAAAAATGTCCTCATCAGAATCAGCAACAAGGGTGCTACAAAAAGAAAATGACGAAAAAAAGCGAGATTAAATGGCGGAAAAATTGCGAAAAACACAGAGCGTTATAAAGATTCCTTCGTTGAAGAAGCGGCTTTGCAGCACCTACTCAGGGGCACCGAGGGCACCGAACTCTGTCCCGCTAGGCGCATTTACCCTTGTGGATTTTTGTGCCACTTGCCTTTGAGCACAGCTGACAGCTTTTCTGCTTGGACCTGGAGCTGTCTAGCGCCGTTATGCTTTGATCTCACCATCAGTGTTGTACATGCCCTATCCATCCCGGGATGTGGACTCCATGTAATGCATACATTGGTCTACGTTCAGTTAAAGAATAAGTGTTCTGATGGAAAAATTACCGCGAAAACATTTCCGAAACTGGGTAACAAACGTGGTAGTAATCCTATCAATTCGCATCCTAGTGCACCCTCGAGCGGGATCGGAGCAATCAGTAAGGTAATGGTGACGTCCACCAAGGCAGCAACAAGCTGAAATCACTCTGCATTAGAAGTGAAGTAAAAATAATGCAATCGATTGAGAATAAAAATTTGAAGGCTCGACTACGGTGGGATTGCATGGTAGGTTACCGCTAGGACTCGCACGGCCAATGCTAGAACAAAGGAAAAGTAGGCGCTATTCAGTTAATATAACTAAACAAGTCGTCTGCAATCGCAGCAAGAACGTCTTCAGGTCAGCCTGGTTTGCAATCTAAAAGTGCGTTGCATCCGCGTTGCGGCAACATACGCACAGTCTAGGTAGTTGGCCAGTATTTTGTAACACTTCTATTATTCACAACAGTGCTGGGTTATGGGCAAAAGTAAGACTCTAGACGGGACTCGAACCCTGCCGCTTACCGGGTTGTTGCGATATCCGTTACGCTACCGGGGCCATTCTTACCCTCTCAGCTCAATGGCTTATTAATTATATTCTTCACCAATTAAGTCTTGGTGCAAGTGGAGCGTGC